ACTCATTTTCCGTTTTCCTGTAACAGTAATTTTTCTTTCGATTATCTGCTTCAAATTTCACTTTTACATATGAATTTTCATATTTTCTTGTCTAGTGTTCTATTTTTCTTATTAGTATTTTTTATTTTTTACTTTCTTATTTTTACTATCAATAAATTGTGCCACCGCCACCTATACTCACTTTCAGTAAATAACAACTTTTTTAGTACACTATTTATCCGCTAAATTTAAAATTTACAGTTTACTGCACTGATTCGTTAAAAATCTAGATAGATGTCATGGGAGTCTGATAATTTTAACTTTTTACTTTTTACTCTTTACTTTTTATTTTGTAATTAACGTCTATTCTTTAAATTTTTTTTAACTGTTTTTGCTTGTAAAAACTATTTTGTGTTGTTTAGTTAATAATTGTCTTACATGTGTTTTAATTATTTTATTCAATCAGACATCTCGCGGTTTAACCTAACCTAAAAATATATTTAAAAAAATACTATTGTAGGTATTACATGACTTTTTTAACTGGTTTTGTTAAACTTTATGTAGCACTTCCTTTATGGAAATAGTCAAGGTGAGTCTAGGTCATTGTTTAATTTTCTTTTGTGTTTTTTCTGTTACTTTGTATATGTTAATGTCCGTTCATACCAAAAAGTTTTATATTATATTTTTGTAAAAATTTTCTACAGTCAGGAAATTACTTTCTTCCTAATTTTTTTATTTAATTGTTTTTGCAAAAATTTGGTATTTTTTGTCTTTAATTACAATAATACAACATAGAGTACACATTCGCCTTGGGAGCAAGTTAGTTCCATACCAAAGATCGCTTTTTAACTTACAAATCTCATTTCTGAAATAAATAAGTGCAATTTATTAACGGTTGTGTAGGATTGTGTAATTTTTTTAATTCTTACTGTAATGTTCGATTTTTGGTGATTTTTATTGATAGGTTTGTTATACAAGGATATAAGCGTTAATTTACCAAAATATAGTATGTAGTAGCTAACATGAAAACTATCAGAAATTTTTTATAAAAGTACAAGTATTTCATAATGAATGAGAAATATTTTAAGAACGTGTTTTACAAGTCGAAATAAAAAAAGTTTTATATAAACTTGTGTCCGGAAATATGTCCTTTCCGAGTTACAGACGACAAAGAAAAAAAGAAAAAATCCGTTACATTTCTTAAAAATGATTTAGAATAGCAGTTTTGATAACACCAAAGCTGACTGTACTATGCTTAATTATTTTCAAAAAAAAAAATTGAGAAAAACAATTTTTTTTATAATTTCTTTGACACCCTGTAACTTGGAAAAAGGCGTATTTTTGGACACATGTTTATATAGGATTTATTGTTTATTTTGACTTTCAGAACACGTCCTTAAAATATTTCCCTTGCCTCGTGAAACAACACGTATACTTGAATAAGAATATTTTTAACCCTCATAGCCTTGTAATTTTTATTTTTATTAATTCATTCGATGTTTTAAAGGGGAAATTTACTATTATACTATTTTTCTTAATTAACATTCGATTTGATGTCCTAAAGGGACAATTTATTATTTTACTGTGTAATGTTTACGTTTCTTAAATAACATTCGATGTTGGATTTTATTTTATCCTGTAATTTTTCTCTTTCTCGATTTTTCAAAGGATTTATTATTTTACCTTATAATTTTTGCTTTTATTAAATTCGATGCTTTAATTATTTGTTTTATTTTACTTTTCTTAAATTCGATGTTTTAAAGGGGTAATTTATTATATTAACCTATATTTTTAACTTTTTATTTATTATTTTAATAAAAAATATACTTAAAATTTTTGTTTCTTTGACCGTCATTCATCTTTCTTTAATAAATAGTTTAAGAAATTTTATTTTTGAAAAATTTGAAGGTACACTTTATACAAAATGTTTCATAAAAATATTTTTCAAGTTAACCAATTATTTATTTAATGGTTTTAGTTCATTTTAACAATATTTCATCAGTGTGCTTGAAAAAGGTGGGTGGAAATATTCAAAAAAATTTTGTGGAAAGTTTAAAATTGTATATAACATTTTTCATAAATGATCATAAACTGTAAAATTTCGTTTTTTGTACAGTACAATAGTTTGGTCATTAGCTATGAAGTCTCAAAATACACTGCAAAATTTTGTAGTATTTAAATATTGTTTTAGTACTAATTTCTAATAAATAAATGTCTTATAAAATACTTTATTTATAGATTCATGAACACAAGAAATAAACTCGAATAAATTGAATAATAGAACTTGAAAAAAGAAATATAATTGATAAATATAATAATGTTCACTGTTTATTATTATTACATTCCTATCATAATTATTTAAATTTCGTAGTAAGACAATAATTCAACTAGCATCGACTACGGTAGCATAGCGGTCTAGGGCTCTCGCATTCGCGAGCCAATTTTGTGGTAAATTCATTGGCTTTAAATCCTATGCAAGACCATGTGAATTTATTTGCATATTTCTCTATAGGATTTGATGGATGCCGCATTAGCAGAAATTTAATTTCTGTTGATATGACATCCAGACTATGAAAATCGCCATGCGTTACCGTTTTCGATGATGGTGGGTGGGGTTTTTCCGGGATTTTTATTTTAACAATTTTTTTAATTAAAATTTTGCACTTTTTGTCAAATTTCTCGAATAGGGTCCATTTTAAGAAAATTATGCAAATGACAAAAATTATAGAAAATAATATTAGAAGTAACTTTTATTTGAAGAATTTTTTTCCCCAAACGTAAATAACAAATAGATATTCCATAAAATATAAAAATGATTCCGTACTTGGCAATGACCAATCAGAATGCCTGTGGTCAGACGCGAATTCTTTTTAGTGATACTCAGTGTGTGTTTATATTTGTTTGTAAAATTAATTCTAATACTGTATCCTTTTTAAAAGATTTTCATTTGCATTGTGTTATTAAGCAGTTTATTAGTATCAATGTTATCATAATGGAGTGTATTTTTTCTCGCTTTTCTTACTTTCCTCTAACATTTACTTATTTAACAACTTAGTGCAGGAAGGATTTTCACAATTTTTAAACGGCCCGTATTTAAGACTATTCTACTTACCTAGGTACTGGAAACAAAGTGAACCTAAATATGTATACAGGGTGTTATTGAAATACACGTACATATTAAAATGGGGAATAGTATGTAATGACCAAAAACGATTGGCACCAATTTTAACTTCAAATTCTAAAATTTAAATATTGGGGAAGAGTCCCCTTTTCCGACCTACTAGTTTCCATATTTAAAGAAGTAAAATAAATCGAAATTGAACTTACCCATAGAAATTGCACTGTTGCCGTAGCAAAACCAATTAATTCAAAATAAAGTTTATTACAGTAATTGTTCAAAATGCCGTCCATTATTATTTACACACACTTGCAATCGTCTTTCCAAAGAACTTTGAACATTAGAAATTAGTCTTGGATTTTGTCGTAGTTCCTCGGCTACCGCATTAACTTTATTGGTTAATTGTTCAACACTATTAATAGGTTCATTATAAACCAGTTGTTTCATGTGACCCCACAAAAAGAAATCGCATGGATTTAAGTCCGGAGATCTCGGAGGCCACTTAGTAGGTCCATTTCTGCCTATCCACTTTTGAGGAAATCTAATGTTCAAAAACTGCCGTACGTTTAAATCAAAGTGAGGAGGAGCGCCATAAGTAGTTTTAAGCTTAGGTAAAAAAACAAATGTATTAAGCGTAATGATTGTAGAAGCCAGAGTCCCTAGACAATAGGAATTAGAAAGAAGGAATTATAGAATTGAATGTAAATATTTTAATTTTTTAAATAATAAATAATAGTAAATAAATAAATAAATAAATAATAAAGTAAATAATGTAAACTGATGGCGCTGATCCATAAATGAATAGCAGGAGTTTAATAATTAGGACCCTGTCTTGATAAAGCACACAAAGTGTGTGAATAGGGACTCCAACCGCCACCCAAATCAAGACTGAATCGGAATAAATAAATATTATCTCTGTATAACTAGGTGCATATAAATGTATTTTTTTTTTTTTTTTTGTATGACATGTTTATACTTTTATTTTGAAGAATAATTAGAAATGTAGATTGAATTTCTGTGTATTTGAAAATATGACATTACATTTCTGACTATATAATAAAGAAATATAAATCTATAACAAACTCTATTATAGTAACGTGAAAGTGGACAGAGTTGACTCCAATAATACGCGAAACGCATTGGATGCTCTCTAGTAGCTATTTGTGTAATAAGAGCGAAACATTATACTTTGTAGCTTGACATAGACAGATGTCCGCGCGGCAATCTGTCAAAAGCGGCAACAAATTTTTCGCTAAAAATACACACAAGATTTTTTACGATCACACTTTTTTAAGAAATAGATATAAAAACTGAAAATTTGTCGTGGTCTCCAAAGCCGCCGAGTTGCCACACTTAACGCCAGGCGAAATCCGGCAATACTGTCGTGTACGTTGGTCCCCTCTCCACAAAATAGTACCCTGTAGAACTCCATGGAATCAGTGTTCCCAACTGCAGGGAATTTTCCCATTTTAGGGAATTTTGGCCTCCAAAAGGGAAAAGGGATTTTTTTTAAAAAATCATAAAAATAAGGGAATTTTCGAGATAATACGAGCAACCGTGTTACTGTCACCGGAAATAAAAAGAAGTTTGACAACACAGGTCGACAAAGACGAAGAAATTTCGAGGCAGTCAGTGAATTGGGTGTTCTGTGTGGTTGTTGGCAGTATTGGCTCAGTTGGCTGTTCTGTGTGGCTGTTGGTTAGCAGTGTTGGCTATGGAGACAGGACACATGTTGGTTGGCAGTGTTGGCTATGACATATGACATGACAGTTGACAGGACACATTTGGTTTCGGTGATTTCCCGACATTCAACTCTTTCGAGGTTTTATTTTTATTGATTAGGTAAATTTGCAATATAAACGCTTATTGATCTGCTGGACCATTTTGTATTATAATCTGAAATATGAGTTCCTCAAGCTCAAGCAGTGAAAATAGTGAAATAAGAAAACCAAGGAAGAAAATACATATGGAAAAAATGTTTAAGACATATTGGTTAGATGATTCTACTTTTAAACCATGGCTATTAGCTGATAACAGCTCAAAATACAAAGCAAGGTAAAAATTAATGAAATTTTAAAATGTTTATTTAAGCTGTATTTAATTGTAGATGTAAAGTTTGTAATGTGAGTATTAATTCTGGAAAGAGTGAGTTACAAAAGCATGCAGCAACCCGCAAACATGTCAATAAAATGAAAACTATAAAGGAGACCAAAAATATAGTTCAAATGATTGAAGCAAAAAAGGATAATATGCACGATTCAACTGTAAAAAAGGCGGAACTTAAATAAGCTGCATTTTTTGCATCAAATAACGTTGCCTTTCGACTAATTGACCAATTAGAACCCATTTTGAAGGAGATTTTTGCAGATAGTAAAACTTGTCAAGGCCTCAGTTTAAAACAGACGAAATGTACGGAGTTAATAAGAAATGTTTTATGCATAAAGGAAACAAATGATTTAGTAAGCGACCTGAAAAAAACACGATTTTCCATATTAATAGACGAATCAACGGATATTGTCGATTCAAAATGTTTGGCTGTACTCGTTCGTTATTCAAAACTTGGAAAAATAAAGACTAGACTTCTAGAGCTCATACAAGTAGATGCAAGAGATCTAGGCGCAACACATTTATATGGGACCTTTAAAGCTTGTTTGGAAAAACATGAAATACCATTGAAAAATATAGTTGGTAAGTTTTTTTAACTTTTGTATGTACTTAGTATTTTTCAATTAACAAACAGTTTTTTAGGGGTAGCATGTGACGGTGCCAGCGTCATGGTAGGAAAACATTCGTTTTTTCAATTATTACAAAATGACATATCACATGTAATTCTTTTAAGATGTATATGTCACTCTGCAGCATTAGTCGCTTCTCATGCTTGTTCCTTTCTTCCTCGATCTGCAGAGGAACTACTACGTAGTGTATATAGTTATGTTTCAGGAAGTGCAAAACGGTCCGCACAATTGCAAGAAATGCAAGAGTTTTTTAGAGAAAAGAAACATAAAATGTTAAAATTGGCAACAACAAGGTGGTTAAGAAGATATGAATGTATAAGCCGCGTCCTTGAAAACTGGATTCCTCTAGAACATTATTTTACTATTGCAGTCCATGAAGATAAATTAAAAAGTGCAGAAATAATTCTTAGCGAACTAAAAAATGTCTATACCAAGGCATATTTATTATTTTTAAAATATACCCTAAAGCTATTTAATACGTTCAATACTCTTTTCCAAAACAGAAAACCACTTATTCATGTCTTATACAGCGAGTGTATGTCGCTGATGAGACAGCTTTGTCGAAACTACGTTCAATCAGCAGTTCTCGCAAAAGAAGATTTATCCGAACTAAATTTAAAAAACCCCAGAATATTTTTGCCATTAGAAGAGATATACTTAGGACCGGAATGTACAGAACTTTTAAAAACAACACCACCAGAAGGCAGAGAAGTATTTATTAAAAATTGTTTAAATTTTTATATTGAAGGTGCATCAGATCTTCAAAAAAGGTTACCTGACAAAATATTCAAAAATATGGGGTTTCTTAACCCTACTTTAGCGTTTAGTAAAAATGATTCAGAAAGATATTAATTTTGCAGAACTAATTAAGAAATTTGGAAGTATCATTAATGTTGACAAAACGGACCTGGAAATTGAATGGAGGAGTTTTTGCGATTTGTTTAGTGATCTACAGGTAACCAGATTAAAATCTTTGGAAGTAGATGAAATGTGGTTAGAAATATGTTCAAAAAAACGTTTCGATGAGACTCTGGCATTTCCGAATTTGTCGCAGCTTGCTAATGTGCTTTTAGTATTACCTCATTCAAACGCCGAGGCAGAACGCATTTTTTCAGTCGTCACTGATACCAAAACAAAAAAAAGGAATAGATTGGCAGAAAAGTCATTAAATAGCCTATGTGTATTTAGAAGTAGTTTACAGGACATGGGAAATGATGTAGTACAGTATCAGATAACGGAGGATCATCTGAAGTTACACAATGTAAAAATGTATACATTTAAAAACAAAAATGTTTGAGTTCTTTTTTTTCATTTGATATTTTCTATCTAGGTATATTTATTATTTTGCCGTTTTTTAACTGTTTTGAGAAGTTCAGTAATTTTATTTTTTATATTTCGTTTATTTGTTTTGATATATATATATATATATTAAAAAAAAAAGTATATATTTGTTGTTTTTTTTTGACAATTTTTAAATTTTGGCAACATTGGGGGAGCAGGGAATTATAGCTCTAAAATACATGAAATAGGGAATTTTTGTGATCCATTAAGGGAATTTTTCTTTTACAAGGTTGGGAACACTGCATGGAATCCTCAGTGTTGACGCAGCAGCCTTTCGAGATGGAGATTCTAGTTGTTGTTCCCACCAAGTGCGAGTTACGGTCTGACATTAAATTTTTACACGCAAAAAAATCCTCCCATAAAAATTTATCGTCAATGGGAAGAAGTTTATGGTGGGAAGTATATGGATGTGAAAAACGTTCGAAAATGGTCTAGAGGATTTTCTGCTGGTCTCCTAAACGTCCGCAATGAGGAGCGAAATGGCAGGCTATCGCACGCGGACGAAACAGTACAGAAAGTTGAGGCGCTTGTAATAGAAGATCGCAGGTTGACCCTAGATGAGCTGACCGAACAACTTCAACGAGTATGCAGCACCCAATTTTGGCGAATACCGAAAACTGTCGACCAGATGGGTCCCACAAAATGCTCATTGCGTAAAATGTGCCCTAAAATTTCTCGATGGTTTTGAAGAAGAAGGGAAAGAATTTCTTGATTCAATAGTCGTTGGAGATGAAACATGTCCTGACATGCCCCCTGTGGCTTTCATGTTTCCTGCCCTAAAAAAAACATCTAAGAAGCATGAAATATGCGAGCGACGCCTCCTTCTTGTGCTAGGTGGTGGAATCTTCGTTCGAGGAGGGGATACAAAAGTTTTTCGTTCGGATGAGGGATGCATAAAAAAACTAGAGATCACATAGAAAAATAGCTTAGATTTTAAGCTTTCAAATGATAAAACATACTTTGAAAATAAATGTAATTTATTATAAAAAAAAAAAAAACTTGGAGACCTTACTTTTAACAAAGATGTCAGTTCGCGGAAACGTCAGCTTTGCGGTAGAATTTCGAAGCGCAGAAGCCTACTTTGGATAGTGATCGTAGAAAATTAATTTGTTATTATAATAATAACGATTTCATTAATTTGTTGAGAATTAAACCGTTTTTGTTATTAAATTGAAATTATTTGTAACTTCCAAAAGATTTACTTTACGTCTCACAGGTATGCGATTTTTGGAATCAAATATTATAGGAGAATAGAAAAATGCAATAATATACAGGGTATTCTATTGAGAAAAATATGTGGTTGGCCATCGGAAGGTGAAAGTTACAACGAGTATACATGAGCAACAAAGACTTCCCCTCTATATGATTTTTTACTTATTTTTGTATTTTTTCATGAAAGCTTTCAAATTATATGGAGTGTGTAGTTCCCTGTATATATATTTACATTTAACTGAATCTGTATCTCTGTAATTTTCGAGATATTTGTACATGTATTTAAATTAATTCATTTAACTATTTATATTTAGGTGGTAATTGCTGTCTCCAAAATTCTTGTCTTTCTGTTAAGTAATCAACAGTATCCTTAATACTTTTCTCGATTGATTCATTATTTTCTTTAAATTTGCACTTAATATCTGGATTGGTCATTAAATTGTTTAAATACGTTTTATCAACTTCTAGTTCTCGTAGAAGTCTACTTTTCTTTCCGGATTTTGAAGCATGTGTGCCGACAGATAAACCCTTGTTGCTTCCTTTGGAGGATCGACCTAAAAAAAAACAAAAAACTGAATATAGAAAGTATGAGCTCGAATAGCCATTTTTTCTAATTACTATGCTTTTTTCTTAAATCAAGTAGGTTTTTAAAAGTTATTTGTGTACCAAGACCGTAACGTTGATCGTTGGCTGAATTAGGGATTCACAACTTATTGTAATAGACCTGGAGGCCTCGAACAAAATTAGTCAACAAGTCATTACAAACGGTTTAATGTATTTTAATATTAGGATAACATCCAAAATACCTATATCGAAAACTCTGTCCCTACTTGGTCATTTAAACTTAGGGGAGGTCTGTCAATTTGACACGAGTTGACTAAATATTGTTACGCTGGTTTTTGGTATCACAATTTATTTCAACTCAACTTTAACAACAATTATACAACTGATAATATTAACAAGTAACGTCTTTCATAAAACTGAAAACTGACGTCAGGATCATCCTTATATAGCTTGCTTGAGACCCTTCTCGAACTGTCATCTAGAATATTCTTGACGGGTAATGACATTTCCAGACATTTCTGGAACTATTCTATCTTCTTTTACTTGTACTTTTATCTATGACGACCGCAGCACACTTTAGGGCGATGAGTAACATTCCACTTCTTTTTCTATCTGCAGGCTGCAGGCTACTGCAGGGTGCTGCGTAACATTGCTCCCTCCTCTCTAGTTATTCGCCCCGAATAACTTGATTACACTATGACCTAGTTGGAACTAATGGGGAGGATCTGGACCATGGTATGGAGCTATCTTCCCAATGTGAACTACGTTGAATTTACTTCCCGCTGAAAGTCGAATGCGGCAGATCAGGACGTTGATTTTCCTTAAGGACGGAGTAGGGGCCTTCCCAGTTTCGTTGCGATTTCTGACGAAGTCCTCCTTGCTGCTTGGGATTGCATAGCCATACCTTGTCGCTCCTCTCAAAATGTGTACCTGTAGCATGCATGTCGATTCTAGCTTTCTCTTTATCGCTACTAACTTTCAAACGTTGCCGAGCGAATTCGTGTACCTTCCCTAATTTTTCTCTTAGGTTTTGTATGTACGTGGGAGGTATACGGCCCTCTTTTTCACCAGGAGGCTGCCTTCCAAAAAGAAGATTGTGAGGAAGTTTTATCTCCCTTCCATTAATTATTATGGATGGAGTATAATTCGTCGTTTCATGTTTAGAACTTCGGTAGGCTAGCAGAAATAGAGGAATTAAAGTGTCCCAGTCTTTTTGATTATCAGAGACGAATATTGAAAAATACTGGCATATCGTTCGGTTATGACTTTCTACCATTCCGTCGGACTGTGGGTGGAGAGGCGTAGTGCAGGTTTTCCTGATACCTAACAGTTTCATCAATTCTTGCCATATTTCGGATTCAAAGTTTCGTCCTTGGTCAGAATGTAATTCGAGGGAGACCCCGTGTCTCGATGACGTTCGTCATAAAGGCTTCCGCTACTGTCGTCGCTTCCTGATTAGGAATAGGCACTATTTCGGGCCACTTTAAAAAATAGTCCATAACAACCATTAAGTATTTGTTCCCTTTTTCTGTTGAGGGAAGTGGTCCGAGGATATCTATGGCGATTCCTTCGAAAGGCTCTCCGGAAAGGTACTGTGCTATCTTACCTCGACTTCTTGTTTTATGCCCTTTTCTGCCATTACAAAGGTCACATTTCTTACACCAATTTTCTACATCCCGTCGGAAATTGACCTAATAAAATCTTTACCGAACTCGTGCAAATGTTCTTTTAGTACTAAAGTGTCCTCCTGAATGGCTGCTGTGAAGCTCCTCCAACACACTTCTGACCTGTGATTTCGGCAATATCACTTGTCGGACTACATGTACTCCATCGGGGCTCTCCCACTTCCGATGCAAAAGGCCATCGTGAAGATACAGGGAATTCCACTAAGTCCAGCACCCTTTAATGGTTCCACTATATTTGGCTATTTCTTGCCATATAGGTCTGACTCCATTTTTGAGCCATTCTCGGACAACCTTCAAGTCATTGTCTTTCTTTTGAGTCTTTCTTAGACTTTTAAGGGTAATTCCGTCTTCGTCATCCTCCGCCTTGATACTGGTCGCCTGAAGAGTAACTTTATCAACCGGGTCTTCTCGTTCTTCGAGACTTTTACCATACCAGCATTGTTCCTTTAAACGGGGTTGCCCGAAGGGAATGTCTGCGTTCCTATGGAGACCTCTTCGATGCTCTACTTTCTGGTTATTGTTAGAAAGCTGGCTCGATGTGGGTGATTGGCTTGTTCGGTATGCATAGCTGCTGTAATTATTTTTTGTTGGTCTTAGTGATGGGCTTGGAAAGATTGATCTATATGATTTTCCGGCCTCATTTGATGATTCTCAATTTATAGATTGAGCCATGCTTCTACAGGTTCTTTGAAGATGCCCTATTCTTCCGCAATTGAAGCATCTCCTGCTTCCATTTTGGCTGTTTCGTTGCATACTTCGCAGGATATTTAAGATTTGTGAGAGGGTAGGTTGAGGGATAGTATTAGTAGTGGCCTCTTCACTTTCTTGAAATCGAATTTCTCTCAATTTTGCGCGAGAAGATCTAGATATACTTTTTGCTGCTTCGTATTCCTGTGCGGCAATAAGTGTCTCACTCAACGTCTTGTGGTGTTGTAGCCGAAGAGCCTGGCTGCATTTCCACATCATGTAGTCTATCAATGAATGCTTGTATGCCGATTTGCTCTAAGAAATCTTTAGGCGCCTGTGGATAGGTCAGATGCAGCAATCTTTTAATATCGGCTTCGAATTCTTGTAGACTCTCATTGTGTTTCTGAATACGAACTTTTAGCTGGCTTTGGAATACCTTTTTTAACTGCTGCTGGCCATATCTTGTCTCCAACGCTTGGACGAGAGATGAATAGCTAGGTTCTTGGGGAAGTAACTCTAAATGGTTGCTGCCTGACCTCGTAGTTTAACTATCAATGAAGCCGCCATCTCTTTCTCGGTCCAGCTATTGGCTCTAGCTACCGCTTCAAATTAAAGTCGATATGTTTCCCATATTGTCTGACCGTCAAATGTGGGTGGCTTAAGGGTCTTGCTAGTATAGTTTTGTAGAACTGGAATTCGAATGTGGCTTGGTTTGTTTATGGATGAAGACGAGGTAGTATTTTCAGCTTCAACGTTGCTTACTGGAGCTTGGCTGCGAATTCTTCTTTCTAACTCAACTATTTCAGTTCTAATTTGCCTTTCCAAGTCTGCTCTGGTCTTTTCTTGTTGTTGCTCTAAATTAACTTTTAAATTCTCTTGTTCTTCTAAATTAGTTTTGAGAATATTTTGTTGTTATTTCAAATTTGCCTTTAAATTCTCTTGCTGTTACTCTAAATTAGTTTTTAGATTCTCTTGTTGCTCTTCTAAATTAGTTTATAAATTTTCCAAATTAGTTTTTAAGTTTTCTTGTTGTTGGGCTAAGATATCTACTCGACTGTTTAGCTGACCTACCTCTTGCTTGAAATTTTCCTGAATTTTTATTAAACCATTTATAATTTCTACCGCTGCTTTCCTACGCCTTTCCTCTTTCTCTTTTTCCTCTTCCTTCCTGCGCCTTTCCTTTTCCTCCTCTTCTTCCTTCCTACGCCTTTCCTTTTCCTCCTCTTCTTTCATACGCCTTTTCTTTTCCTCCTCTTCTTCCTTCCTACGCCTTTCCTTTTCCTCTTCCATCTTCAAAAACCATGCTGGTGGGCCTGAAGTATCCTTACCTGCTTCATACTCCGTGGATCTAGTGTTTATCATGAACTTCTACTTTCTATCCAACCGCTATCACCAATGTTACGATGGTTTTGGTATCACAATTTATTTCAACTTGTTTTTAACAACAATTATACAACTGATAACATTAACAAGTAACGTCTATCATAAAACTGAAAACTGACGACAGGATCATCCTTATATAGCTTGCTTGACCCTTCTCGAACTGTCATCTAGAATATTCTTGACGGGTAATGATATTTCCAGACATTTCTGGAACTATTCTATCTTCTTTTACTTGTACTTTTACCTATGACGACCGCAGTACACTGTAGGGCGATGAGTAACATTCCACTCCTTTTTCTATCTGTACTTATATTTTAGAGTACTCAATACTTCCTACAGCCGACAAGTAACGAGTACGAGTAATGACGCGCATAGGACCAGGAAATCCCCAGTTTGTCTTATTTGTTGTGTCTTACTCACATTATTACACGGCTTACTATTATTATTTTACATTTTATGTTTTGAAAGACAGTTTGTACAGTACATATGTGTGGTGTGAGTTGTTAGGATTACGAAGTGTTATATGGCAAGTTGGCGTTTGGTGCTAAGTTAACAGACTTTTAAATATTGAAAGTAATTATTATAATAATAATAATAATAATAATAATACTCTCCCTAATTCACCCCCTTACGAGTGAATTTCAACCCCTGAAGTCGACTGAACGACTTGTGTAGGGGAAGGGACGGCTATTATTATTATTTGCCGTGGCAGTATCGTAAATGCAAATAAATGTACATTAGAAAAATTAGATTCTACTCTACATGGATGAGTATAAAGTTAAATTAGAATGAACTAACGAAGAATTCATGGATGAAAGCCATATTTATAACATGTTTAGTCACTAATTGGAATCGTTTAATATACTCATATTCGTTACTTAATTTTTCACGAGTACCCTCCTAAATTTTGCGAAAGTACTTGTTTGTTTTAAGTATTATTCATATGAGTGGATATTCATACTCAGATACTTAATATGAGTATTTTTCGAAGCTATTCATTGTGAATTACTCATGAGTACTTTAATGCAATACTTTGCCTCTGACTCTAAGTTTACAATGTATAACTGAGTACTCAATATAGAAAGAAACTTTGCTCAGTGAAACTCGCTCCTTGTTTAGTCAATTTTGATCAAAATAAGTGCAATTTTTGTTAAGTAGCTTCTTTAAATGATGTATAGTTATTTTTATTTCGTCAGTCTTCAAAAATAAAATTATAGACTTCAAAGAAATCAAAA